CAGCGTGTGACAAATACAAGTTTTGTTTTTAGGAACTTTCTGGGTTTTAAAAAATACATATTTTTGATCCATAGTTGGTTGACCCTATGGATGCAAAATCCATGGATACAGAGCGCTGACTATATTGGGTAATTCACAGTTAGAAGAAAAATTAAACACAGATAGGTATTAAGAAAAGATAGGAACCAAGGATCTGTGTAGCAGGAACTAACAGCTCAGTGTTGAATTTGTTCCAAATGTTTTTCTAATCTTTCGTGAGGAAGTTGGTTAGGGGAAGAGTAAGCAGACTTCCACAGTGTAGAAGAGGTAAATTTCACAAAAGAAATCTAGATTCTGTTTACTAGACAAAGTGAGTGTGAGCGTGGAGGGGAGGAAAATGTGTGACAGTGGAGAGGATGTCCTCACACCACTGTGTTCTTCCATCTGCCCTTAGTATCCTTTTCAGGTCTTTCTGACGCATCCTCCTGCCCATTTCTGAGAGCTTCAAGAGCCCTCTCTCTACTCCCAAGTGGTTGTAGTTTTCCTGTATGTCCCTTGATCCTCTATAGGACATGTTGGCCAGTGCATATGTACATTTTGCATAATATATCTTCCCATAAGTCACTCTCTCCTGCCTCACCTGCTGGAAGGTAAACATCCTTGGTCCATTGCCTCCAGCCCTTTTGTTGAAATTTTCCATGGGCTGTTTTTCCAAAATTCCTGGAGTTCATTCCCCAAGCTATGCTTCTTTTAAAAATGAATTAAACATGTTTATATGCTGAACAAGAAGGGTTTGCAGATCAGTACGTGCCTATCTTTGGTAATAGAAAGTAGTCAAATAGGTATACCTTGGGAGCTTGCTTCTGCTTAAGATGTAGAAAGCTGCAAGCAAATGTTACTCTCATTCTAACAACAAGAAAAAAAAATCACAAGTTTTCTTATACCCATCAGAGAAAGCAGCCAAAAGAATTGAATTCCAGAGTGACAAGCCGTTTCATGGAAAGACAGGATATATGAACTGCTTCACTTTTGGCAGAGAATTGGAGGCTGCCAGTAAAGCAAGTATGGAAAAATTATCAAGAATTTGGAAGAGTTTTTTTGCCCTACCTGCAAGTTATGTTAGCTTGCCACAGTTTCCTGAATCAGAGAACTTGAGTACTCACTGTAATAGCATTCCTCAGTGTCAGTATTTGTGTGGGTTCCCTGACTTCAATCCTACAGTGGGTTGGACGGTAGGGGAGGAACCCTGAGTTCAGGAAACCTAAATGTTTGATAATGGGTATTAAGCATGCCTGCCGTTTGCTCTGGAGGGAGACATACTTATTAGAGTGCAGAGTAATGAAACATGCCTCTCTTCTAGAGAGAGATGGTGTTTTCCCAGGCTGAAAAGATAGTCCAGAACAAGGCAGTCAGTGTCTGTTCACAGATCATGCCAGGAGCACAAGAGACCCAGGAAGAATAGTCTCCAAACAGAAATCACCTAAAGTTTTAAATAATTCTTTAAAAGCCAAGTGTGGACTAAAATACTAGCTTAGAATAACTGGGAGCCCTGACTTGACATTAATTCATGTTCACTCAGACTTCCTATCCACCAGCATCCATGGGGTGCTAATGACAATGTTTGGAGCAGGAGCCTGCAGGGAAGAGATCCCTCAGTGACACAGACATGCGGGTAGTGGTTGATAGAATGATATTGGGTGGCAAATGTGAAATACTGGCTATTTCCTTAGACCTTCCTCTTGTATGAGTGAAAGCTGTTAGCCACTATAGAAGAGAGAGCAAAGTTCCACTGCCTCTGGGAGAGAGGTAAATGTAAAAATCTTTTATCCCTGGGGAGAGACAGAAAACCTTGGGCCAGGATCCTGCACGAATCTGCTGTTACTGGGAGAAGTGCAGGAGTATTTCTCCTGTTCAAAACCTGTGAGAAATGGCCATGTTTCGCTGCCATGGGGGAGGAGTTAGAAATTCTGAGATGGCCTGGCCTTGGGCCCCAGGTGCACAGCCCTCTGTCTGAGAACTCACCAAGAGAACCAAGAACTTCTACCTCCACCCGTCATCCGCTCCGTATCTAATAACAAGCAGCAGCAGTTTACCACTTCGGGAGGCACAAGATTGTGAATGACACAGGTAAGCAGGACTTGCTGAAATCTGAGGGTGGGGCAGAAAACAAACCCTCTGGCACCGAGGCCCAAGTCTAAGTACAAGGAAATAGCAGCCAGTCCCTGGAGGAACATGCAGACTGTGGTGCACCAAAGGTAAAAATAACAACAAAATCTAAACCCATTTTTACTGACTAGATTTACTCAGTCCCTCATATGGTCAGGTGTAAGTATTTATCTGTCTCTGCTATTCACCATAAGATGTGGTGTGGCATTCAATCTAAAGTCCTGACTAAGGAACAGGAAACAATACATTGTTAAAAGATGAAACAGATGATAGAACAAAACTCAGAGATGACCCAGATATTGAACTGTGAGACAGAGACTTTAAAGTAACCATGATTAATGTGTTAAAGGAATTAGTGGGAAAGGTGGGAAACCTACACGAACAGTTGGACAACTTCAGCTGTGATGGAAATGCTAGAAATAACATGCTGATAGCAATGAAGAATGCCTTTGGTGGGCTCATCAACACACTTGGCACAGCTGAGGAAAGAATCTGAACTTGAAGATAAGTCAGTGAAACTTATCCAAAGTGAAATACAAAGAGAAAAAAGTGAATCAATACAACAAGACAGATGATTCAGGGTTGTGGGATAGTATCATCCATGTAATTGGAACTCCAGGGGAAGAGAAAACAGAGTGGACATACTTGGAGAATAAAGGCTGAGGAATTTAAAAAAAATGAAAGAAATCACAGTTCTGTGATGCTGAGAGAAGCCAGTAGGATAATTTAAAAATAAAAACACCTAGGCACATCACAGACAAATTACTAAAAACCAAAGATAAAAAGAATATTGTGAAGATAGCCAGAGCAAAGAAACAGATTCTCATTCTCCTCTCTTGGTTTCTCTCCATTTTTCAACCCTTTAAAAAATGTATCTAAGCCATGCTTAGCTCAGGGATCATACGAAAAAACAGATCATGGGTCGGGGGTGTGTGGGAGGCAGCCTATTATTGACGACTCTCTCATGATTGATGCTTCAACTCTCCCTCTCTCTGAAATCAATAACGATATATTTAAAAGCAAACAAACATACAAAAAAACAAAACAGATCATGGGCTGGATTTGACCTGCTGGCTGTAATTTTCCAACCCCTCATCTAATGCAAAAACTGGACTAATACATTGTGAGATTCTTACAAATTTAAAGGTAAAAATCTATGACAATAACAAATAACAGTAAAGGAGGAAATGGAAGTATACTGTAGTAAGGGTCTCAATTTATATGAAGTGGTATTACACCATTTAGAAATAGGTAAATTGTGATAAGTTAAAGATGTATGTATGCCCTTAGTCATCACTAACAAAGGAGATATAGCTAATTAGCTAACAGTGGAGATAAAATGGAATTAAAAAAAATACTCGATACAAAAGAAGGCAAGACCATGACAAAAAATAAAAATAAAAAATGGCACAAATAGAAAACACCTCGCAAAATGGTAGACTTAAATCCACCCGTAGAGCTACATATATTAATGTAAATGGTCTACATACCCCAATTAAAAACCAGAGATTATAGATTAGATTTTTAAAGGATTATATACTCTACAAAAAACCCCCAAAACTTTAAAAATGCAAATGGGCTAAAATTAAAAGACGAGACGAGAGAACTTGCAAACACTAATCAAAAGCTAGCTGGACTGGTTGCTGTATTATCAGAAAAAATAGTCCCCTGACCAAGGACTATTAGCAGGATAAAGAGGAATATTACATAATGATAAAAGGTCAGTTCATCTAGAGGATGTAACAGGTCTAAGTGCTCCTGTTTTAAAAGGAAATCTTTAAAAGCTGATCTGCAAGGAGAATTAGACAAATCTATTATTATTAATAGTTGGAAAATCAACATTCGTAGTAATCGATATAACAAGTAAACAGAAAATCTATAAAGATATAAAAGACCTGAACAACAATCAACTTCATTGACATTTGTAGAACATTCCACTCAACAACAGAATATACATTGTTTTCAAATGTACATAGAACATTCACCAAGGTAGGTTATATTCTGGGCCACAAACAAATCTAAACTAATTGAAGTGGTTGAAATCATACAACATTTGCTCTCTGACCACAATGGAATTAAATAGAAATCAATAATAGAAAGATACTGGAAATTTTCTAAAGCTTTGGAAATTAACACTTCTAAATAACCTTGGCTTAAAGAAAAAGTCATGAGGATCAGACAAATTTTGAAATTAAATGAAAATAAAAACCCAACAGTAAGATGTGTGACACAGCTAAAACGGGGCTTAGAGGGAAATTAAAAGGATAAGGTAATAAGAATAAATGTAATAAATTTGATAAAGGCGGGCCATTGCCTGTTTTGTAAGTAAAGTTTTATTGGAACACAGCCTCACCCATTTGTTTACATATTGGGTATGGCTGAGTAGTTGCAGCAGAGACTGTATATAGCCCACAAGCCTAAAATGTTTATTATCTAGCAATTGAAGTTTGCCAAGCCTTGATTTAGGTGAGTTAATAAAAAAAAAGTGATTTGGCAGCAAGGGCCCTTGGTGACCTCAAGACAGGCCGTTTCAGTGTAGAGGCTGTGGAGAGGAGCCGGTCGGAGAGGCCGGGTTTGAATTGGAGGCTGGAGGGAGGGCTGCGGGCGCAACTTCCCGGGCCCCGCCGCGAAGGGGCAACTGTTCAGAATGAGAGATTCATCGCAGAATAAGGGAACGATGGAAGGAGGGACGTTTTTCATAAGGGGGCTCAGGCTGGGATCCGTCGTTTAGGTGGAGGGTTTGCTCTTCTGTAGGAACAGAGCCACTTCCTTAGTAGTAAAAGGAGGGGCGGAGAAGGTGGGTATAGACAGGCAGACTTGCATAGTGAGTGACAGGGAGACAGAATTTCTGCCTAATTCTGTGTTGTCAATGGAGTATTCAAGATTATAAACTAAAATTGAGACAGGGCAATGAGGTAGGAAGTTTGAGGAGAAAAGAGAAAGTATCGTCACTTTCGAGAGTAGGAAACTAGAGAAACAAAATTGGTTTGATGGGCGTTAGATGGAATCATGAACTAAACGCGAATTTACTCTGCCTTGTCGGGATTTTCTCCACCTGTGTGCAGCTATCGGGATACTTACTGACAAGGGAGGAGGCAGGTGCTCGATTCTTCCATCTTTGTCAAGCAAGCATGCTACGGTAAGAGTGGGAGAACAGGGAGGCAGAGGGTGGCAGAAAATCGGTAATCGGCCTGTTAGTGACTAAATGATGGGCCACGGAATCGAAGCCAGACAAATACTAAATGGTACCTGAAGGATCTAAACAGAGAGTGAGAGAGTGGCAACAGCAATAGATTGAAGAGCGTAATATGGTTGATGAACTGGGGTTCTTTCTGTAAGTCGTGCATGGGCTTTTTAGCCCTAAAATGTTAACACATTTCTAAAGATTTGATTCAGTTCTTCTGTGATTGGTAGAGTTGTTTTGCAGGAAGCCAATAGGCAAGAACTGCTTTTGCCAGAATTTTATTGTTTGTGGCTTTGAGGCCACATCAGTCTTGAAGGTTACGGCCAAGATTGGTTAGATCATCATAATAGCAATTTTGGAGTCAGAACTCCAGTTATCTGCACATTCCTACCTTTTCTCTGCCCTCGTCTTGCAGTAGCAAATTCTCAAGCACCCAGAAGATCTCCCTGTTCTCATTACCAGAGTTGATCTTGAATATTATAATGTTGGTTCTCGTACCACTTCCTCTTTTGTGGTTGTAGCTGCTCATCTGATCTAATCGTTGTTCTGAAATAAAGGGGAGAGCAAGAAGGGGTCTCCTCATTTGTGTTAAAATTATGTTTATTAAGCCTGTGCATAGATGTCTTCTGACTCTGTGTCTTACGTATCTTTTTTTCTGTGCAAATCTTTTATTAAGCTTATCCTTTCAGAATAGCTCAGCTTTTTCTCCCCCAGAACTTTATTCCCCATTCCTTGGGGTATAAACAGTAGGCAGCTGGGTTGAAGGCAATACAACTGATACCACATTGAATTCTGCTCAAAATCATTCCTTCTCAACACATTCGGGAATTGCTACATGAGGAGATAATTACTGAAAATTTTCTGGGATTGTGAAAGATAACAGTTCACAAATTCAGGAAGCGTCTAAAGTCCTAAGCAGATTAAATAAAAAGAAACCCACACTAGACACACAGTGAAACAACAAATCACCAAAGTCTGTCTTAAAATGTGCTGGAGAAAAAGACAGATTACCACATACAATGATAAGATTATAAGTAGAGAAAGTAGTTAATAGTATAGTCTAGGATCCCTAGGAAAAGATAAAGTTATTGATTAATTTTAGGTCATAAGAGACAATAAGTATGCATTTTTGTAATTTTGAGGGTATCCACTAAAAAATTGAAAACTTTCAAACTATGAGTGGGAAAAAAATTGTAGCTATAAAAAAAACCAAAAGAAGACAAGAAAGTAAAGTAAAGTAAACAGAATAGATAGGATAAATAAGACAGTAATTTAAACTGAAAGGCCAGTAAATAAATGCAAATGGACCAGATATTCAAATTAAATGATTGTCAGGATCAAAAAGAGCCAATCATATAAAGTTTACAAGAGATACATATTAAATTTAAATATACAGAAAGGTTAAAGTAAAAGGATAGAAAAGTTACTCAATTTTTCAGTACGATAAATCTGCTCAGATAAGATAGACATTAAGGCAAAAAGCATAATTAAAGATCACTTCAGAAGGATAAATGTTCAGTTCACCAGTAAGTTATAACAGTTGTAGATTTGTAATCACCTAATAACAGTTTCAAATTATATGCAGCAAAAAGTAATAGAAGTTCATAAATTTGCCATCATATTAGATTTTTAAGTACCTAAGCAATTAATAGAGCCAATAGAAAAAAAATAAGGGAAGTTAGTTGTAGATTTAAACAGTGTCATTAATAAGTGACCTAACTCCCTTCACCAAACTACAGAACACATTCTTTTCCAGCACACATGGGACATTTATAAAAATTGATATATGCTGAGCCATAAAGCAAGTCTCAATAATTAAAGGACTAAAAATTCGGACAGTACATGTTTTCTGGCCACCGTATAATCTAGAAATCCATAACAAAATGATAACCAGACATGTACCATTAAGGAGCTGGGTATGCAAGCCTGAGCTTGAGAAAAATCTGCGAGTCATTCAGCTTATTACTGGGAAAACTTGGACTTAAACCTGAGTCTCCTTCACATCCATTTAGTGGGATGATACCATAGAAAGTCTTATCTGCCCATAACATGTCATTTTGCATACGTAAAAATAATACTAAAATAACCTATTACTGGACTTTTGAGCAAGCAGAGAATTCAAACATCTTTCCCACTTAGATGTGATTCATGTTCTAACACTTTATGGTTTGCAGGTTGTAATTTTATAGTCTCTTAAAATAAGCCTTACTTTTTTTCTTTTAACAAGATATGTTAATGGAAGCTTATCCAAGATTTCGTTTGGATAACCCAGAGTCAAGTCCTTATATAGACCTCAAGAGCTATTAAAAAACAGATGCAGAATCTGGAGTCTTGTGAAATATTCCAGACAGCCCTCTTGACTTAATAGTAGGCGAAATTTCACGTCAGCCTTTTAATCAAATAAAGCACTCATTTCCTCTGACATCAGATGCAGCCTGGAGTTTCTGTTTCTCGTGGGGATATTTTATATAGTTATGAAGTCTATTTTTGAAGAATTAATTTTCCTCACATTTAAACCTATTTCCTTGTTTGAGATAACATAACCAGATACCCAATCCTTTGTGCCATGGATGTCCTGAATATCTGGTTAATTGTAATGAGAGTGACTAATGCATTTAAATCTCTTCCCCAAAGTTACCAGGACTGGACTCCTGAGGACACACCAGCCAGCCCTAAATGGTCCTGACCAATGTGAACGGTAAGTAAATCCCTAATGAGACAGTAAGATAGGATTATTCTTGTTTCTAAAGACACACTTGGGGAGGGGAGGAAGCTATTGGAAGATAGTTTTCCTAAAAATAGTCTAATGAAAAGTGTCAAAGAAACTTTCACATTTGGTAAAGGGAATTAAGAAGAGTTACATATCCAGAAACACCCAGGAGAGGCAGCATTGCACAGTGGTTTGAGAATGGGCTTTGGATTTGGACTGAAGAATCTCTTTCAGTCCTTTTTCCAATTAGTAGCTGTGTGATGTCAAGTTACTTAAAATCTTTACATCTTAGTTTCTTCTGTGAAAATACTGCTCACTACACCATATTGAGGATTAAATGGGAGAATTTATAATAAGCCTTTGATAAATGTCATCTTAGAGGTGGGTTCATTTATTAAAATTTTTTTCCCATTAGCAAAGCAATACTTTCTTGCAACAAGAATTCACAGAATACAGAAATATATGAAGAATGCAATAGCTGCCTCACTTCCCTCAAACTCTAATTATAGAGTCTAGTGGAAACCACTGTTAACAATTTGGTTTGTAGCTGACCTTGTAAATATTTCACTTCTTATTCTTTGGGTCCGAGATGCCTATGTCATTAGATGTTTTTTATTCAATTTACTTTTTCCATATATAACATTAAAAATTTTTTGCCTTCACTTTCCAGTGTTAAATCAATATTTGGTCTTTACATTGAGGTCAGGAAGGAGAGGTTGTAGAGGGAGGAATCTACCCCATTTGATCACTAATGTAATCTGTAGTTGCTTTTTTTTTTCCAATCCTCACCCGAGGACATGTTCATTGATTTTTAGAGAGAGGGGCCAAGGGGGGGGGAGAGACATCGATGTGAGAGAGAACATCCATTGGCTGCCTTCTGTCAGTGCCCCCACTGGGGATCGAACCCGAAACCTGTATATGTGTCCTGACAGGGAGTTGAACCCAGCATCTTTTGGTATATGGAATGACGCTCCAATCAACTGTGCCACACTGGCCAGGGCTGTAGTTGCTTCTTTAAACTGGGGTTTGCTCTTCAAACCTGAACTTTAAAAGTTAACATACTTATACCTTTTGTTTGGCTGAAAAGAACATCTCCCTGGTGTCCCAGAGGTCAGTGCTTGAGAGCAGCGTTCAGTGCTGAGCGCCATTCAGATGTCCTGCTGAGAGCCGCCTCACCCATGTGTCTCGGTATCACTGTGGTACTAGGGTCTGATGAATACCATTGCGGGTGTGAATGCTGAATCACCTAAGAATGCTTGAACTGCATGTGACAGATAACCTAACAGTAGCTTAAACACAGAGGGTTTTTATTTAAGTGACAGGAAGTCTGCAGATGTAGCAGCTCCATGATAGTATCACTGTGCGTCCTAGGTTCTGTCTTTTGCTTTGCCATCCATAATGTAAGGCTTGTTTACTCTTGATACAAGATGCTTGCTGAAGCTCAAGCAACTGGCATGGATCCAAGGCAGGGAGAAATGAGGGAGGGTAGAGCCAGATACATCTTTCTTCATTTTATAAGGAAAACAAAGGCTTAATCAGAAGCCGATGGGAGACCTCTGCTTGTGTATCATGCTTGGGCTAGAGCTGGACCAGGCCGCCATTCCTACCTGCAAAAGAGCTGGGAAGCAAGTCCTGTTTTGTTTTTTTTCCCCCAACCTCTACAGTGGGAAACAGCAATGGAAAAGGGTATATAACTGATCCATAGCCTCTGGCAGAGGAGGGACAGTGGGAGATGAGTGGGTGGACTGTAACTCTTCTGTGTAGTTTATCTTTCTGGTACTGGTATGAAGACATGCCCGTCACAGCAGTGAAGGGGGCCCACAAGCCCGCCACTGAGAAGCTTCATGCCCAGAGAAGGTCTGGCATTCTCTAATTGTTACGGCTCTTAATGACAAGCTCCTTTAGTTTATACATAGCTACTTGCTTGGGTTGAGGCAGTTCTGGCCTTTGCCGTCTCTTGACTCAGGATCCCTGTTGCTCCTGTCTGTCAGCTTAGCCCTGAGTTCAACCAACAATTATAGTACCTCTTTATCCTCAAGATTTGTTTTGGGGACTCTGTTTCCTTCCCTCTCCTGAGCATAGTTCAGGGACACTCCTGCCCACTGGGAAGTTCTCCCAAAGTCCAGGGATCCTGTGCAAGTAAGTTCACCTCTTACTGGATTTTTGCATACCAAAAGAGAGTAGTCTCCATATGGCATTTCCTATAGGCACTGGATCTTGTCTTACATTTACATAACATATACGAATGATTAAAATGACTCTAACGAACAAGGAAGGGCATCCCAGGGGACTCCTTGTGTTGTCTACTTGCTTACCAAAGAGGTGGAGTCCATGTTCTCCCACTTAAAAAAAATTGGCTACACAATAAATTAGAAAATATGCAGTAATTACGACAATTGCAAATGGCACAATTGATTCTCTGAGGTTTCATTAACATATCTTTAGATCACATCATTCCGTCATTTACATTCATTCTTTCAACCCACAAACATCTGTGGCACCCGCTAAGTGCCAGACCTGGGCTAAGTATTGTAGATACAAAGTCAAATCAGTTGTGGTCCATTACCTGAAGGCCTTTAGTATCTAGTGTGGGGGGGAAATGTGCAAATCATTTTTGCCTGTTGTGTTATGAAGGCTAGGGTAGCGGGGTGTCTAGGATGGTAGGGAATCCCAGAAGAGGGGCAGCTAAACCTTGCTGAGGACCAGACAACTTTCTAGGGGAGAGGATGCTTGAGCTCAATTTTGAGCTATGAGTAGAAGTTGCTAAAGGAGTTTCCAGGGAAAGAAAGAGCAAGGTGATGACAGGGTGCTCATGGCGTTGTTCCTGCGTGCACCAGGTCAAGAGCAAAAGTTCCATGTGGAATGAGGGGTCTTTGGAGAAATGAAGTCTAAGGGGCCACAGAGGAACAGGAACCAGATACTGCAAGGTGTTGTCGGACCAATGAGCTTGAATTATGGGTCATAGGTTGTGAATTTAGATTATAAGCTTATTAGGTGATTACCCCCCGCCAAGAGTGAACAAAATAAACTTCAAATGTTTCTATTTTGATGAAGGAGGAGAATTAAACATCTATGATGGATTGAGTATAAAGCCTATGATCTTCCTTCCCAACATGATAATTACAATCATTTTAGAGTAATAGTCCCTTTCTACCAGCCTCTCTGCTTGTATTAACTTAAGTAGATTAAACCCCCTGGGGACCTCAAAGTTGTAGGTGAATATTTTATCCTGAAAATTACAACAAATTAGAAACTGTCTAGGGCTAACTCATTTCCTGCAGTATTTTTCCAGGCTGTTAGAGTACCATTTATTCCCCTGCGATGTAACATGTGGAAAATGGGGCCTGAATTAATAAACCTCCCTATAAGCATCTCATTTATTATAGCTCCAGGAAACAGCCTGGGTGTCAGAAAAACGGAGACCAATATTTGAACATCCATTTTCTTTCTTTAGTTTGGCTTCAGAGAGTTCCAGCGTTTCTCTATTTTTCTAGAAGACTGGGTTTCTCAGAAACAGATTCCCACAATGAAATCTTAATGTAATTCAAGAAGTCAGAAAGGGTGAAATTTATTTTTAGAATTTTTTTAAAAATTTTATAATGCAGTAAAAACATTTTGTCTGTTGGTTTTAGTACCCTGTATGTGTTTTTAAAGTTGTGTTCTGGTATATCCTGAGGTTTTAGACTGTGAATGTTTCAGAAGATCGTCAGTATTGATATGCCTGTTTCTAATTCTCTGCATGTGGTGGTTGCTGCAGAAGTGATTGACAATGAACTGATTCTATTCTAAACCCCACAAAAGTATTGTATTTGGTTTTTACCATTTAAAATCCCCTTTCCCATACATTGCCTTATTTAACCTTCAAGATATCACTCTAAAACTCACTTGGCACCTTACAAACTAGGAAAGTAATTAAGAGATTCCAGCGAGTAGATCCCAAACTTAAGTCTTCATTTATACCACCTAGGAGAGCTTTTCATAAAATATATTCATGAACTTCACTCCCCTACTCAACCTCCAAGACACTGCTTTAAAAGTTGAAAAAGCTGCCCAGATGACACTGATGGAGTGAACTCAGTTGAGAACTCCTGTTTAAGGGGATTTTTCTAGAGCTCTCAAGCAGCAGAGCCAGAACGCAAACCAGAGGTGCTGACTGCAAGCCAGGGTGTTTCCCATAGATCACAAGTCAGGTAGAAGCAGTGGATGAGAGACAGGGCCTGGGAGGAAGGATGTAGATGGATATGGGTTGACAGTAAAAAGATAAATCTTAGAGCAACTTTCCTTCAAAAAAGAGCTTTAAAAAGTGAAGATGATTGTTCTTTTCCAAGGCTCTAGAAATCACCTTAAATGCAATCATTATAAACAAAGAAGATATCATGTCTAACATTGAGAACATAACATTTTAAAAATGAAACCCACCCAAAACCCCCAATACCTATCAGACAGTAATTTCTTTGTTTTCCCTTCCTTCTCATAATTATTGACAGACATGCATTATAAAAAGAATTTAAGTATCGGTGGGAAAGAATTTGAGAGTTATTTCTAGTAATTCCCTTGCTCCCTTAATGGTCTGGTATCAGAATTTTTAAAAAATGTGTATCTGACTTTATTTTGTTAACACTTGCTCTAATCTTAACTTCATAACTTGGAGGCTTTCCATCCCCACTGATACAAGAGGAAATCTGAGAGTTCGGGCTCAGTCCATTGCTGTTGTCCTCCCTGAGAATGGTCTTTAGCTTTTCGTCTTCTAGAAAAAAATAATGGTTTGTATGGCTCTCAAGTGTTTTTTTAAAAATAGGGATTTCTTTTTCTTTGGTGATATATTTCAACTCACATTTTATATTTTCTGAATGAGTAATCCTGTGGATAAATGCCCCTTCATACGTATGTATGGCAGGCAGTTGAATAGATGACACTTCTAGTTAAAGAAGGCATTGTGTACCTTTTTTAAAAAAATTAAAAATTGCTTTCTAAATGAAAACTCACCC